CCAGAAGAGGGCACCAGATTTTATTATAGATGGTTGTGAGCCACCATGGGTTGGTGGGGATTGAACTCAAGGCCTCTGGAAGAGCAGACAGTGCTCTTAACCACTAAACCATTCTCTAGCCCCTACAGATCATTTTTTAATCATGTGTAAACGTAGACATGTGCATGTATGTGAGTCCAAGTGTACATGAAGGCTAGGGGTATCCAGAACTGGAGTTACAGATGAGGCTGAGCTGTCTGATATAGGTGCTAGAAACCAAACTTGGGTCTTTTGCAAGTTGCAGTAGAATATTGTCTGGGTTTTTTTGTTGGTTTTTGTTGTTGTTGTTTCTTTTTCTTTCCAGACACAGCCTCACTGGCTGTTCTGGAATTCACTATGTAGACCAGGCTGGCCTCAAACTTGGAGATCCGCTCTGCCTCTGTTTCCTGAGATTAAAGTGACTTTTGAGATTAAAAATTTATGCTGCAGTGACCAGCCAAAATATGGTCTTAACTACTGAGGCATCTCTCCAGCTGAGCATAGAGACACATGTCTATAATCCCAGCACTTGGAAGACAGGCAGGAAATAAGTAATTCAAGGACATCTGCAGTTAGATACCAAGTTCAAAATCAACCTGGGCTATATGAAACCTTGGCCTGCTTCCTTCTCCAAAAAAAGAACAAACAGCTCAGTAAAACAGCATTGCTATTGGGCATGAGGTTCAATCTTCAGGACCAAACATCTCTATCAGTGTGCCACATGCATGCAATGCCCATGGAGGCCAGAAGACGGCATGAGACCCCCTGGAACTGAGTTACAGGTGGTTATGAGCTGCCATGTGGGTGTAGGAAGCAAACCTGGGTCCTCCACAAGAGCAGTGAATATTCTTCACCACTGAGCCTTGTCTCTAACCCCTGTTTCCATATCTTTAGATCTTTTTAGTAGCTGGTCTAGCTAGAGCTTATCATATAATCTTGACTTAAGAAAATCAACTTCAGGTTTAAACTACTTTAAGTGATTCAGGAATGTTTTGATGTGGTGTTAGTATATACACCTATCAAATGTACATGTACAGGAGCTCACCATTACAGCTATTCTTTTACCAGCTGTAGTCATTTCCTTTGCCTATTACAGCTTTGTTCCAACACATCTTCTCTGTGTTGTTAGCCAATGTGCTATACATATAATACATGCCATACACCCAACACTATATGCACTTAAACATTTTTTAATCACTAAAGGAGAAAACTATGCATTTACAGCATCTTATATAATCACATAATTACCTCTACTATTTTCCCACATGCATTTGAATTACTGTCTGAGGTCTCTTCCTTCCAGCCTGAAGGACCCCTTAACATTTTCGTGTAAGGCAGGTCCTGAGCAATAAACTCTCCCAGTTTCTGGCTATCTGTTGTCTTCATTACACCACTCTGAAATGACCACACTATATTCAACTTTGCTACATATAATTCTTAGTTGGCCTTCTTTTCTGTTCTATTTTGTTGTTGTTGTTTGTTTGTTTGTTTGTTTTGGTTTTCAGGACAGAGTTTCTTTGTGTAGACTTGGCTGTCTTAGAACTAGCTCTGTAGACCAGGTTGGCCCAGAACTCAGAGATCCAACTGCCTCTACCTCCCTAGTATTGGGATTAAAGTCATTTGCTGCCACCACTGCCAATCTTTCTTCCTTCTTCTGACAGTTCACATTTATAACTAGGGTTCCTCTACTGAGTATTTTAGTCCAACTACTGTACTTTTCAGCTCTAGAAATTCCATTTAGTTCTCTTTTATAACTCCTCTCTTTAGGGATTTCCATTTGATTGGGCAGTATTGTGGTACCTTCCCTTACTTTTTTTTTTTTTTAGAGACAAGGTATCTCACTGAACCTGGAGCTCAATGATTTAAACTGACTGCCCAGCAACCTCCAGAGAGCTGCCTCCAGCACAGCTTTTACATGGGCGTTCAGGATCAAAATTCAGATCCTCGTACTTTCTCAAGTGGCAAGTAGTTTATGATCTGCACAATCTCCCCCAAGGCCTTTTCTGTTACTCTGACCCTCTGCTCAGCCTCACTTCTGTGGCTAGCATCCCCACACCCACCTCCTCTTCCCTTGTATGGATCATATTTTCCAATTTCTTCGAATATCTCATGGTTTTTAATGTTTTGAACACTTCAGATAATATATTTTAGTGACTCTAGGGCCCTATCAAGGTTTTTATTTGGTGGGGGAGGGGCAGCACTCTATCACTGTCCTTGAGTTTTTGAGGGAAAACTTGCTATGTAACTCAAGCTAGCCTTAAACTCTCCACTCTCCAGCCCTTAGCCTCCCAAGTGCTCAGATTACAGACACAGACCATCAAATCTACTTCAAGTCTTACTATTTATTGTTTGATAATTACTTATTGTTTGGATGATTTTTAAGAAAATCTAATCCACACAGTGTGAAAGCCTATATTTCTTCACAGGGAGGCGTTGTTTTGAATGACCTTGAATGACATGGTTTTAGTCTTCCCTTTCCAGGACCATCCAACTGTTAAGTTGTAATTGTGGCTTGTTTTCTAACATTTGTAACAATGTCCTAAGGCAAAACTTGTATATAAACTAGCCTACCAAATTATGGTTACTCTGAGGGAACTGCTTCTAAGGTGAATGTCTGATATTTATGCTTATCTAAGGTGGATTCCCTAAAAATTTCTTGCAAATTGGAAAACATGCAGTCCAGACTATATCTTCAAACGATTCAACCTTCTCTCACTAAAACCTAGTATTCTCAAGAGTGCCTTCAGGCATGAACTTTCCCACTGTGTTGTAGGTGAGTTATTTCCTTTGAGAGAAGATTAGGACAGTTTGGGTTTTGCTTGTTTTGGGGGGTTGACTCTTGTACTGCCTGAATGTGCTCTATCAGCAACTCTGTTTTAAGTCCTGCCCCCCTCTACTCCTCAGGTAAAAATCTCTGAACCGAGATTCTAGAAATAGGGAAGGAGCTAATGCAACCTTCCTCTGCGTTGTCAAGTTCCCTACCAAATCTAGGATTGAGTCTTTGGTGGAGAAACACGGTAGGTAGAGGTTGCAACTTGCCTTCTCTACCATCAAATTACCAACCACCTCACAAGTCACAGCTAGTGCTAGAGCAGTTAGGTCCTAAATTATCTCAGTATAGCACACCCTGTACCACAAGTAGTGATTGAATAGAAAAAAGAGGCCTATCATCCAAGTGCACCTTCCTAGGACTTAGTCTCAGCAACAAGTAGTAGAATCTCTCTAACTCAGAGGGGAAAGCAGCATTGGCAGTCTTGACTCAAACTCCCGCCTCCCACCTTACTACATTCCCATTCTTGCTGCCTTTGCCGTTCACCCCTACAACTACTTCCAAAGGTTGTTTTCATAAGTACTTTCACCAGTTTTGGAGTAGAATTTGTCAGTGGAGTTGTGATACTGTCCTGCTTAAGTCACTCCTATAGAAGAGCAAAGCTAAAGAGTTGAGTAGTTCCAACAGAACTCCAAAGACCCATAAAGCTGAAATGATTAACCATGTAGCCATGTGCAGAAACAATCTGGCAACTCCTGACTACTGTCACAGCTACCAATCCTGCCCTGCTGGCCATGAATCAACACTTTGGGTAGCAAGGACTAAACTGTTTGAGAGTCAGTATCATACTGGCTAAAATAAAAGCTCAGTCTGAAGTTCAAAATCTTGAGGCACTTTGCATAAAGGAAAAAAAATTTTTTTTTCACCTTTCAAAGAGAGGCTTTTACCACCTTCTGTAATGCCAACCACACAAGACTGCCTCCTGTTTCTGAGGCCAATTACACGCTTCTGACTAGCTACAAACTGAAAGGCCACAACTTGTTCTTTGGGGTAATTTAGTACTACACCTCAGAGAGCTTAGGTAAAAACACTCATGTTTACCTATTTTTCATAGGATATTATAAAGGGCACATGATATGACAAGATCTGTTTAAATGTATAAAGGAAGGCATGTGGGAAACGGTGCAGAGTTAATACACCCACTATGAGAACACATGCTCAGGTGGAAGCTCGCTAAGCCGCATCCTTTCAGGAGTTTATGGATGCTTAATTTATAGGCAGTGTTGGTTAAATCATTGGCTACTGATGATCAACTTAACCTTCACTTCCATCTTAAGGGAAGAACTGAAGTCCCAACCTTAAAGATCCTTTCTGGGAACCAGGCTGAATTCTAAAACTACTATAACCTGGCAACATCATCCAACTCATTAACACACAAAAAGAAACCTATTACTTTGGAGATTCCAAGGATTTTAAAAGCAATAGGCCAGGGAACCAAATCAAATATATTCCAGTGCCTATCTGACGGCTTTTTTGTTGTTGCTTTGGTTTTTTTGTTTGTTTGTTTGTTTGTTTTTTGAGAGTCAAATGTGTAAATGTCTGATACTTAGCAAGTATTCAGGGTTGTGGATACAACCCAGAGATGGGGTGCATGCTATGCATGCACAAGGCCGTGAAAGAAAACACACACACACACACACACACACCACTCTTCAACTATTATCACCATGTTAGAAACCAGGAAAAGTAAATGTAACACACTTTCCTCAAAGAGTTTTTCCCAGAAACTTAAAAAGTTTGGAACAGGGAAAAGTATAAACTTCCAATAAAACTAGATGTAACTTTTAAGACCGAGGGTACACAGTTAATACCTAGTGAAAAACTCCCTGGAGTTTTAGGCGCGAGTTCTACACACTGTTACTACAGAAGATTCCAGTGTTTTCCAATAATAAATGAATGAAAATAACCTTCAGAAAATGCCAAAACCAAGAGACCTACTTTAAAAACAAAATACCAACTAGCTTTAACTTGTGAGCTGGCCTTAGAAAGCCCCTTCCGGTTCCAGATAATGATATATACGGAATCCCTTAAGCTTCCACCTCGACTGTCAGTGCAGCGAGGTCACCCCATGGGTAGGGACGCGCGCCGCAGCTAGACGGCAGAGATTCCGCGGCTCTCCGCTCATAGCCCGTCGGGGCTGGCGGCCGGTTACCTCGCAGTTGAACTCCATCTCGGCGTCCATGGTGACGATCCGCACCGTGAATGTCTTGGGCTGCTTCCTCTTGAGTGAGCTGAAGCTCATGCGGGAAGCGATGGCTCCGGCCATGGCGCGGGGTACTGGCCTGGGATCCCTCACCCCTAGGCCCGCGTTCTGAGTCTATTAGCCCCCCTGGAGTAGCTGCACAGGCCTCAGGGCCACCATGGTGGCCGGCTGACCGGCCCGAGACAGACCTAGGCTGCCTGGGTCCCCAGCGGCCAGCATGGGCCGCGAGGACCCGGCTCTGGGTCGGAAAGATGAGTTAAAGGATAGTCTCTGACGACGTGTTGGGGGACTGGACGCCGGCCGAAGCGGGCGCGGCCCGGAGCTCGGAGATTCGGGCTAGGGACGCCGGGGACGCCTCTAGACAGGAATCCTAGACGGCTGTGGCGCCGACGCCGGGCCTCTCAGCGACCGACGGGGGTCGCGGGGCCGCGCAGTAGTTGGAGCGCACACGCGCGTGCGTGTCTGTCACCGGCTCTGCTCTGCGCGCCCTCGGGAAGCGTCCCCTACCAACCCCCACCTCAGCGACCCGCCGGGTCCCCGCCCCGCCCTCAGGACTCCCACAACGCTACACACGGATACACCCTAACCAATTTTTTTAAAGACGCTGTGATTGGCTAGAACGCCAGAGGAACCGGGACTTCCGTTTCATCCCGCCTCCTCTAGGCCTACTCCACCAATTGAAAGTTGCACTGAACAAGGGGCGCCGCTCTGTTTTCTGCGTTGAGTGGCTGTAGAGGCGGTCACTCCGAATGCTTTGTTCGTAAGCACACGCCTACTCTAGCAAGATTGGTTGAGAAGGCGCAGGTGGCGCCTTTCCCGGGAAACCTGTAGCGGCCAGAGCTGCACCGCACGAGGTACTGTCGCGGTCAGTAAGAGACCCCATTTATCATAATGTGTTGTCCCAGAGCATCAGTCGTATCTGAGACACCCGACCGAAATTCCTTTTTGACAATTATATGTACTGACCTGTAGTTTTCAAACTTTTAAAAACTCGTACGGAGGCCTCTTAAGTTGCACCGACTTGCCTGCCTGATCCTTCAGCTTCTCTTTAACACAATTAAGATTACAACAGGATTCATGATTGACTTTACCTTACTAAGTGGTTGAGGAATGGAAACTTGCTTATTACATATAGAAAGCTTTAGGAAGATGTCTGACACATACTAGGTTGAAGCCTATGAAACCGGGCTAGTAGCAGTAAGAAAAGTGAATTTTCATTTTATCCTCTGTATTTTTTTTTTTAATTTCCAAGCTACATTCTTGTAGTACTTGAAGTTTACTGTCATCCAGTGTATAATATGCTTTGGAGAATTTCAACTTTCTGGGGAGTAATAGAGTTTTTATTTGTTTAAAGATACATTTCCCACTGGGCTGAGGTGGCGAACTCCTTTAATCCCAGCACTTGGGAGGCAGAGGCAGGCGGATTTCTGAGGTCAGCCTGGTCTACAGAGTGAGTTCCAGGACAGCCAGCCAGGGCTACACAGAGAAAAACCCTGTCTCGAAAAAAAAAAAAAAAAAGATACATTTCCCAATCACTACTGCTGTGAAGAGACACCATGACCACAGCAACTCTATCAAAGGAAACATTTAATTGGAGACTTTCTGTGTTTTACAGTTTCAGATGTTTAGTTCATTATCACCATGGTGGGGGGAGCATGGTGGCTTGCCTGGTACTGGAGCAGTAGCTGAGAGCTAACTATATACTGATCTGAAGGCTTAGAAAGCAAAACAGTGGGTTTGCCATGGGCTTTTGAAACCTCAAAACCCACCCCTAGTGATAGACTTCCTTCAACAAGGCCACACCTCTTAATCCTTCTAATTCTTTAAAATAGGGTCACTCTTTGGTGACCAAGCATTCAAATATGTGGGCTTATGGGGCTGTTCATATTCAAACCACCACAATTTTTATCTTATGTATATAAATGTTTTACAGCACATGTGTACATTGCATGTAAACCTGGCTGGCACTCATGTCAGAAGAGGGTTCCAGACTCCCTGAAACTAATTCAGCCAGTTGTTAGCCATCACGTGGCTGTTGGAAACTGAACCTGGGTCCTCTGCAAAAGCAACATTTACTCTTAAGCACTGAGCCACCTCTCCAGCCTTTGCTGTCTGTTTTTGAAACAGGGTCTCCCTGTGTTGTTTAGGGTGTTCTAGAACCCCTGACTTTAAGCATATCCTCTACCTCATCCTTTCAAATCTCTTAAAACTATAGTCCTAGGGGAGCAGGTGCTACACACCTTTAATCCCAGCACTTGGGAAATAGAGGCAGGTGGATCTCTGAGTTTAAGGCCAGCCTGGTCTACAGAGTTAACAGGACAGCCAGTGCTACACAGAAAAACCCTGTCTCAGGAAAACAAACAGAAACCTACAGCCCTGACTTGACTTCTGGGGTTTTTTTGGGAGGGTTATTTTCGTTGTTTAGTTTATGTGTTGTTTTGTTTGGTGGGAGTAGGGTCTCTCTGTGTAGCCTTGGCTGTCCAGGAACTTAGTATGTAAACCTGGCCGACCCTAAATTCAGAGAAGTCCACCAGCCTCTATTTCCTGAGTGCTAGACAAAGGTGCATGCCACCCAGCATAGCTTAAGTTCTATTCTTAACTAGTTCTCATGGTGCAGTGGAGACAAGTGCAGGTGTTTTGACTAAACAGTAAGTACTGCATAAGTATTTCCTCTGCAGCATCCTCCCTACTCTGACCCTGGCGAAACCAAGGCACAGGATGGTAGCATCTCATGCTTGACCCAGATCTTGAGAGACAAAGCTAGAAGTGGGACCTAGCCCTGCTCCAACCCAGAACTGCTGGCTTTACCAGTGTGCTACACAATGTAAGGCTTCTCATTTCTCCCTGTCGCAGCTTCAAAAATAAATAAATAAATATGGACTAGGAATGGGGCTAACAAAATCAAAGTCTAAGGATTTATAGTGTTAGCATTCTGTCTAAGCTCCACCCCACAGTTAACTGGCAACAGCCAGGTATGCTCCGCCCCAAGGTTACCTGGCAATAGCTAGAAGCTAAATAGCTAAAAGGTGCTGCTTGCCCCCTCCTCGCTCTCTTGTCCTTCCCTTCTTGCTCCTGCTCTGTCCCCTCGTCCCTTCTCCATTCCCTTCTCCCTTCTCTCCACGTGCTCACTGCTGACCTCTACTCCTCTACCTCTCTTTCTCCCCTCTCCCCTCTC